TTCCTATATATAGAAGAGAGGATGTGGGAAGAGAATAGATGAGTGTGTAGTAGGTATGGAGTAGGTGAGGAGTAGGTGGAGAGTAGGTGAAGTAGGTGAGTGTGTAGTAGGTGGTAGTGGTAGGTGTGTAGTAGGTGAATTTTAACAAAAACCATCTCCAATACTTGTTTTAAATTACATCAAATTTGAATAAAAATACGAATGTTGGAAATTTGGTGAATGATTTGGTTAATTCCTGGTTTGGTGAAATTTTTTCCTCTCCCTTCATTTGATGCAAGTTTGGTGAAATGATTGAAGTTCACTTTTAACTGTTTATTCATCAAATTTGAATTTGAGGTGTCATAACGTTGTAGAGGACACTGTATGGTGGTGTCATAACGGTGTAGAGGACACTGGATGGTGGTGTCGGACCGTTGTAGAAGACAGTTTATGGGGTCGTGTCGGACCGTTGTAGAAGACAGTTTATGGGGTCATGTCGGACCGTTGTAGCAGACAATGTTGTGACAGTTGTTGTGACAGTTTACGGAGTCTTGCTGGACCCTTGTAGAAACTAACCGGAATCTATGTCGGGACAGTTTACAGAGTCTTGTCGGACCCCTGAAGAAACTAACCGGAATCAATGTCGGGACAGTTTACAGAGTCATGTCGGACCCATGAAGGAGCTAACCGGAATCAATGTCGGGACAGTTTATAGAGTCTTGTCAGACCCATGAAGGAGCTAACCGGAATCAATGTCGGTACAGTTTACAGAGTCTTATTGGACCCTTAAAAAGTCGCACCCTCAAAAGGTGTGCCCAATCTTTCAAAAGGCGTGCCATCAAAAGGCGTGCCCAATCCATAAAAAGGCGTGCCAGATATGATGGCGAGGCATGTGAGTGCCTTGGTTGGCGCGCCCGTTCGTCGTTTGGCGTCAAGTGGCGCGCGATACGCGTGGCTGCCTCGGCTATTTAACCAAGACGGAGGCTGAGGCCGAGGCAGAGGCTGAGACAAGAAACTGAGAAAAAAACTCTGAAAAACAAACTCTTCGTTATCGGAGAGAGAAAGTTCCTTTTGCTGAGAGAGATAACTGTAACACTCTGTTGCCCAGAAAATGGCCTAGTCTTCCCGTGGACTGCTCACCCTCTTTCCCGACCTTAACGAGTCAACAAGAGAGATAACTGGTGCGGTGGCACTGGAACCTCAACCAAGCGCCCCGGAGTTTGCTCCGTTGAACTTTCCAATGCGGTCTGTGGAGTAAAGAATGACAGTGCAGTCGTGTAACAACCCTCATACTGTTTACTGATTAAGGACTGATTGATTACCGATAATTACCGATTACTGCTAAACGGAACTGATAACTGACCGATAATTGAACTGATTAAAAGTACTGAACTGACTGACTGAAACTGGAACTGAATTGACTGAGTATATGTTAGTTAATTTCATTCTATCTGTTTGATTGTATGATTATCTGTTCATGTTCGTATGTTTAAACTGCTAATTGAAGGCCTTATCGGCGGCCGAATCTGAAACCGATTAGTGTTCTGTGACCCTCGTAATTTACGTGATTTTATTGTACAATTATCTGAAAATTGATTAGGTATGATTAAATTAGATCAAATAAGCTAATTAAAGAGTTGGATTTAATTACAACCTTGCCACTAAGTGGGCCACTCACACATACACACACACATGAGCCTTGTAAACACTCCACGTATTGATTAAACCCACACTTCTTCTCACATTTTGAGCCTCAACCGACCCTAGAGAGAGAGAGGCTTGAGGAGTTGGTTTTCATCTCAATTTTTGCTTGTAGAATTGCTTGGTAATTGAAGAAATTGTTGAAGTGATTGCATATTTGAGCTCCCTTCTTGAAATACAAGACTTAAGGTAGCTCCATTGTCTTCTTATTCACGTTTTAAGTTGAATCTTGCATGATTTATGTCATATTGAAGGAGTGTAGAGCCAAACATGGTTTAGATGGCGAATTGTAGCTTAATTGTTGCATGCATGTACATATATTGAAGTTTTGAGGTTGTAGTTCATAATGCCTCACATGCATGTCCATCTTTTGGTCATACTCCATGAGTTCATCTTGTTTTTGAAGGTTTGAGCTCTTTTGAAACAGCATTGAAGCTTTGAAAAGGATTTAAGATCATGCATGTCATGTTTGAGGAAATGGTTTGAAATTGGGTTTAAATAAAACACCCTTGGGCTTTGATTTCTCAAATTGAGCTTTGGGACATGTTATTCTATGTGTTTATAAATGTTTTCCAGAAAATGGGCCCAAGAGGATTGGTTTTGATGCTTTTGAGCTTGGTTTTAGACCTGGAGATCGAATCTGGGATTTCCAGATTTCAGTCGTCCGCTCGAGCGGGGGAAGTGCCGCTCGAGCGGGAAAATCGAGCTTCCAGCATCTTGCACTGTTTTACAGTCCGCTCGAGCGGAAGATTGGGCGCTCGAGCGGAGTCATGTCTCAAGCTCGAGCGGGCGTCGAGCGGGGATTTCACCCATCCAGTACCTTTACAGTACGCTCGAGCGGGAAAATTTACGCTCGAGCGTGTACCTTTGTTGCATGACCGCTCGAGCGGGGAAACCTGAGCTCGAGCGGGACTCTGTTTTACTGAAAAATTCTGTAACTGTTTTCTGATCGCATTTTTGCATCCTCATCCCATACTAGGCATTCTTAGGCCTAGTTTAAGACATCTGGCAGAAGTTGGAGATGGGCCTTTGCTTGGGCCCGAGATTGTGTATGAAACAACTGAAAAAGTGAAACTGATACAGCAAAGACTGAAAACTGCACAGAGTAGACAGAAAAGTTATGCAGATGTCAGAAGACGGGACAGAGAGTATGAAGTGGGTGATCACGTTTTTGTGAAAGTGACACCAATGAAAGGCCAGACTCGTTTTGGAGTCAAAGGCGTATGGACACTATGAATTTTTGGTTATGCCTTTTGGAGTCACAAACGCACCAGCTGCTTTTATGGACCTCATGAACAGAATTTTTAAACCATACCTTGATGACTTTATTGTTGTATTTATCGATGACATATTGATTTACTCCAAAAGTATAGAACAGCATGAACATCATCTGAGACTTGCCCTACAAACCTTAAGAGAACAGAAACTATATGCTAAACTGTCTAAATGTGAATTCTGGCTTGACCATGTTATGTTTTTGGGACATGTTGTTAGCAAAAATGGAATTTCTGTTGACCCGCAGAAAATTGAAGCTGTAGTGAACTATGACTTGGGCTCAGTTCAAGGAGTCCTTCTTTGAAAAGTACTTCCCTCAGTGTGTCAGGGATAGAAAAGTGACTGAATTTGAACAACTGAAACAGGGCACCACATCTGTTGCCGAATATGAAACGAAATTCACCGAGCTTGCTAGATATGCACCGCATATGGTGGATACTGAATATAAGAAGGCCAGAAAATTTG